TCCCTGCTTCTGCTCCCGGGAATGCTGGAGGGGCTGTTCTCTGCTCGATGCTCCTGTTCTGCTCTGTGCCCTGCTTGGAGTGAGCTAGGAAGAGCAGTTTCCCGGGGCCGTGCGGAGGCTGGGAGCGGCAGGAAGGGGAAACTGGAAGCCTTGCCTTCACGCTACAGCATCATTGTTTGTTTGACACGGATTCCCAGAATAGCAAGTGGCTGGACACACCCAATGTTAGCACCAGAGTGCATTCCAGACAAGAAATAGAACTGGATTTCTGTGTGGATGGCTTTGTGGATAATGAAGAATGGGTGGGACTCAGATCTCAGACTCCACGGCTGTGGAATTGTGACTACCTGTCCTTTGCCCGGTCGCCTCTTGTTTTGCCCTGCTTAGTTTTTCTCCCCAGCTGAAGGGTCACGGTGTCCCCAGATGACTGGAGTGGTAGAGTTGTCAGTTCTCCCTCAGGCCCGGGAATTGAGAGCCCCCAAGAACTGAGCCTCCCTGAGGAAAGGGCTCAGGTGACCGGGACACGTGTTCAAGTGGCTTTGTGTGGACAGTAGGGTTGGGGTGCTGTTGGTGCCTGTGAGCAGGTGCCTGGTGGTGGGACGGGAGACAGACCGGGCCGATAGCGGAGTGGGGTGAAGGGCAAGAAGGGGAGCCACGGGAAGGAGTGAGCTCCGCCCTCAATTGGGCGTCCGCCAAAGGACTGTGCCTTTGGCCGTTGGCGCATTTGGGCATCAGTGCTTTTGCTGCCTTCCTCCAAGTCACATTCAACCTTGTTAAACAACTGGAGACATTTTAGAAGAATGCACAAAAAAGAAAAAAATGGGAAAGTAACCTAAGGCTGACGTGACCTTCCGGAGCAAAGTGTTAGAAAACGGCAGGGGTTTAGAGTCAGCAAGTTGGGGCTTCCCAAAGGTAATCTCCCAAAGACAGGAGATTGGCTGCAAAGACCACCACTCCTCCCCTCCCCAGCTCCTTTCCGAATTTATCTGAAGGAAGAAAGCGGAAAACTGCTTTCAGTCTGCACGGGGCTACCGTTCTGGCTGTCTTGACCTCGTCTGGGGATCCTTAGATGAGACAAAATAGTTTTTGTGAGTCTGTGTGGCAGAGCAAGGCAGATGGAACTTTCTGCTGCTGTTGGTGGCTGAAGGTGCCCGAACGTTTATCCATATGGGTGTCTGTGTGTTTGCCCATGTGAAGAAGTCCCCTTCCCGGAGATTCAATCCTGCCAATTAATCTAGCTGCCCAGGATCATTTTTTAAAATATGTTAATGATGTCGAAAGTAATCGTTAAAAATACTGTGTAAAAGTGAATAGTGTTATATCAAGTATACAACAAGTTTTTGGCCAATGTAAAACTCATGTGCACACACACGCACTCCGAAAGCTAAAGCGAAACCAGATTGCACACGTATTTACCAACCTGACATATGGCATTTTTTGCAACTCGCTTTATTCAGTGGATCCTGTTACTTCTGTTTTATTAAAGAAGACACCACAAAAAAGGCAGCCGTCATGTGGGTCCATGTAATGAGAAGGGAGCCTAAATAAATGATACAGTTAATCTCTCAATATCTTTTTAATCAATGGTTCGGTCTTCTTCCCCTTCTAAATTTACTGCCGAAACTAATGAAGAGTAGGAGAATTAACTAATTTGGCTATTTTTTCCTCCCTTTCCTCATTGGTGTCTGATGGAGATGCTATAATTAGCAATGTAATGAGAAGTGAAGGGTAAACAAGAAGAATTGTTCCCAGAACACCATTCTCCGGATGGAAAACCAGAATAGGAAAACCAGCCTGAGTTGAAAATGTTCACTATGCCTACCCAAAGGGCGTCAGACCTGGGGTTGTCTACAGAGGCGTTTCTAGACAATGAGGGAAATGCACTGGGGGCATGGCCTTTAGATGAGCTGGTGTGTGTATAAACTGGATGCTCTGGGTATCACTGGCGTGAAGTTTCGTTTGTCTATCTGAGACTCAAGTCTAGAACTTTCAAATAGTGGATCTTTTTTTCTGCACAGAACTTTTCAAGGTGAATAATTAGCAAATGAGCTTTTACCGGAAACTTCTTTAAAACCTCATTGAGACTGGGTTTTAAAGGATTTAGAGCTAGAAGACGCTGCACATCTAATACTGGTCCAGCCATCCTCATTTTATGAAGGAAGATGGTGAGGTTTAGAGATCATATTGTATGGTCTGGGTGTGAGGTTAAAGGTAGGACGCCTGAGAGCCCAGGGTTCACGGATCAGGAGTACCTTATCCTGCCTGCATCTGTGTGATGTGTAAGTACCGCTCCTGCTGAAGAGAATCTGAAGTGCTTTTGAATGTTCATAACTCTCCCTTTCTAGTTTTGTTTTTTAAGAAGTAATTCTCCTTTTTCAGTCAGCTAGGAGATGCAGACCTGACACCCTTCTTGCCAACCATTGAGCATGAGCAGAGATTCCCTATCCACTGTCATCGCCTGCCTCCTTTGCTCCCTTTTAGGTGGAAATCAACTTGGCCTGGAAAGGCCATGTCCGAGACAAGGTCAAGGCCAAGGGTCTAGGTCAAGGCCATCAAAATGTACCATGTCTCTTCCCTTTACACTGTGTGTTTTAAAGTCCACTTCAGGCCAGATGTGTCCAAGCCTTTACATTCTCTCCATTCTTACCTAATAGTAATATCGACCTAATAAAATTCTAACGCTTGCTTGGTTTATGCTAATGGAGGGGGGCTGGAGTTTTCAGGGGGCTCATATGTCTGTGATTATAATGCCTATTTTTGGTCTTGGGGATGAAATAAGTGTCTCCGAAACCACCGTCAGATTATGAAACTATAAAAGTCCTGTTACCAGCATGAGGTTGCAATTAAAACAAAAGAAATAATCAGAATCACTGGAACTAACTTTTCTATAATTACAGTTGAAGGTAAGGGGTAACCCAGTTGCCTGCAAACTTGTCTGACCAAGTGTTGTCCTTCTGAATAATCTCAGGGAAAGAGTCGGAAACGACCACTTTTTTTTCTACAACTTTTTGTGTTAGTGCAATTTTTCTCATTTCCTTTGTTGATTTTGTTCCCGTCTTGCCTAAAAAACAAATAACCTGCTAGGTTATAGTTACATAATAACAGCAGCCAGAAACCCTCCTAGTGTTCTGTAAATGACATTTCTAGTAAAATCTTTCATTGCAAACTGTATTTTTTTTTTTTTGTCTTTCAGAACAAGGAAAAAGCAATCTACAAGTCACGTCATTAGAAGATGCAGAATGTCGCAGAACCAAGGAACGCCTTTCTAATGGGAACAGTCGCGTTTCAGTTTCCAAGTCTTCCCGCAATATCCCAAGGAGACACACTCTAGGTGGACCCCGCAGTTCCAGAGAAATACTAGGAATGCAAACATCTGAGATGGACAGGAAGAGAGAAGCTTTCCTGGAACATCTGAAGCAGAAGTACCCCCATCATGCCACTGCGATCATGGGCCACCAAGAGAGGCTGAGAGACCAGGTACGACCATGTTGCCGTTCGAAATGAGCAGAGCTCATTCTGCAATGAACGTGAGGGAAAGCAAAATGGCAGGTCAAAGGGGACAAAACGGATGAGTGGATCGTGCCCACCTTTGGGTTGTTCCAGATCTCTTTGTGGGTTTGCGAGACGGAGGCAGCTTACGGGAAAGGTTTGACCTGAAGCCTCAGTTGTCTTTATCAGCGTGTCAGAGAGGGGAGACCCAGAGAGGAGGCAGTCCCCCTCAAATGTGTCCCGATGTTCAACCACAAATACATCTAAACTGCAGGCGGTGAGGGGGTCTTACTTTACTGAGCCAAGCCTAGGATCCATTACTGTGCAACCAGATAGCACTTGAGTGCTTAGCACAGTGAATGAATGAATGAATGAATGAATGAATAAATAAATATATACAGACATATGTACGTACATACATACTTACATACATACGTATAGACAGACAGACATAAATACATTTTCAGGGTAAAGGAGAGCACAGAGGGATAGATTGTGATGAACCCCTTTTCCTTAGCAAGCTGACATTAGGGTTTTGTTTCTATTCTCTGTTTTTTTTTCCTTTTAATCACAGATGTTTACCTTTCACATTCTTGGCTTTCTGCTGTCATCAGCTACCTGTTTTTTCAGGTTATCTTGACAGCTACACAGATAGCACCCATTTATGCCTTGGGATGTTGTTGTTTCTTGGCTGTATGCAATGACTTTCTTGACAGACCACAAAGTTTTGGGGGGGTCCCCCAAAGGCCCCACAGGCATGTGATCAGATTGACCTTTGAGGATGCAGAACATAGTAAAGGAAGCAGGGCCACTGCGACACACGTGATCGGGGAAGAGGACAGGCCGTTATTGATTTCCACACTCCAGAGAGAGAGACCCATTTAGCGTGTTAAGTCGGCGGTCCTGCCAGTTAACCGGTTACCAAAGTGATGTCTGACTAACTCAGCTTTCGATCTTCTGTGGAAATGGAAATTGGCATTCGCCTGAACAATTTGAACCTGTACTTCATCCTCACTCTCGATTTGTCGGTTTATTTATTTAAAAAAAATTTTTTTGGGGCGCCTGGGTGGCTCAGTCGGTTAAGCGTCCGACTTCGGCTCAGGTCACGATCTCACTGTCCGTGAGTTCGAGCCCCGCGTCGGGCTCTGGGCTGACTGCTCAGAGCCTGAAGCCTGTTTCCGATTCTGTGTCTCCCTCTCTCTCTGACCCTCCGCCGTTCATGCTCTGTCTCTCTCTGTCTCAAAAATAAATAAACGTTAAAAAAAATTAAAAAAAAATAAAATAAATTTTTTTTTAACGTTTATTTATTTTTAAGACAGAGACAGAGTGTGAACAGGGGAGGGGCAGAGAGAGAGGGAGACACAAAATCCAAAGCAGGCTCCAGCCCCAAGCTGTCAGCACAGAGCCGGACGCAGGGCTCGAACCCACGAACTGCGAGATCATGACCTGAGCTGAAGTTGGAGGCTTAACCGACTGAGCCACCCAGGCGCCCCATCGATTTGTCGGTTTAAATTCAAACCTGTTTTCTCTGAAATCTTTATTAAAGTGCCTAAAAATATGAAATGAGTGTATAGGCTGTATGTTTGCTTTTTGCTCATGTTGCCAAAAGGTGGCAGACCCAGAAGAGGAGAGAACAGGAGGCCTGGTTGATGTAGATAAATTCTTTAGTAGTTAAGAAAAGGATGACTCCTTTCATTTCAAGCATATATAGAAAGTACCCCCTATTTATTTATTTACTTATTTACTTATTTTAAAATTTGTTTATTTATTATGATAGAGACAGTGAGTAGGGAAGGGGCAGAGAGAGAGGGAGAGAGAGAATCCCAAGCAGGCTGTGCTCTTCTCAGCACAAATCCCAATGCAGGGTTCCATCCCATGAACCATGGGACCATGACCCGAGCTGAAATCAACAGTTGGATGCTTAACTGACTGAGCCACCCAGGTGCCCCTTTACTTACTTATTTAAAATTTATTTCCTACAGTTTTCTTGAGGTATAATTGACATGTAAAAAATTTCCCTATTTTTTAGTCGATAGTAGGGTCACTCTCCATATACGTAACGTGTCGCGTGTTTGTGAGGCACCGTACTTTATCCAAAGTGGTTCAGATCGAGGACACTCAAACTCAGAATAGTTACAGTCACACAATTTGCTAAGGGAAAGTTGGAATTTGAATCTGGTTAAGTCTGAGCTCAGAACCCTTGTTTATTTCACTGTTGTTTAAGTTGATCATTGCCTATAGAGCATGTAGTGTGGTGAGAAAAAAAAACAACAAATTCCTTCTACCTGTCTAGGTTTTTGACTAATTAAATTGATATAAGACAGATTAACAGAAGAAAAACAAACAAAAGCTTAATGATATGTATGCTTCCTGTGTATACATGGGAGAGACCCAGGAACTCTGAGTAACTCCCTAAAATGGCCAAAGCCATCACCTTAAATATCATGTTCAGCTAAAGACAAAAGATGTTAGGAGTAGGGAGTCAATTATGGGAAGTTACCAAGAAAAGCATAATAAACAAGGTAAAGTTGTTATGGCCTAAAATAATTTGGATACTGGTCCTGGCTCAGAGAAAGAGCTATTACCAGAGATTACTTTTTCTCTGGAATACTTATCTGTATGGCAGGGCGAACATCTAATTATGCATCATCTCTCCTTGTTGTCCTGTGAATCACCCTCCTCCCCTTTGAAGCCCTAAGCCCCTATCCCATTCCCTAGGTCAGGATAGCATATAAGCCTCAACTGACCCAACATGTCCTTGGGTCTCATGTTCTTATGGGGCTCCCATACATACATAATTAAATTTGTTTTTCTTCGTTAATCTCTTTTATGTCAATATACCGGTCAAAAAACCTAAAAGGGTAGAGGAAATTTTTTTCCTCTCCACCAGTCTGTACATGAAGTGTAAGGGATAGTGTGAGGTTGTGTGTGTGTGCGTGTGTGTGTGTGTGTGAGAGAGAGAGAGAGAGAGAGAGAGAGACCACGGGGCTAGCGGTCACCGGTGAAGGAGGTTAGGAAATTGATTATGTGTTGAATGAGGAAGGTGGAATGTATTTTTTTAAGTTAGAAATGTATTCATTTTGCTGAGAAATTAGTATTTCAAAATGGTATATTTTCCATGCTAAAAATATTTCAATTGTTATTATTACTGTTATTATTTATCATCTCATAACTATTGCTACTGCTATGATGATAGTAACTGGCTAAAACTCTCACATGGGGAGCCTAAATATAACCTGAAGGGTGCATGGTATCAGATGACAGGGAATAATGACTGTGGCTTAGTGGCCCCAACCTCTCATCTCCTATCCCATACGTGTCTGCCACAGGTGTAGTCTGGCCATGGCTGGTCAGCTGTCCCTTTTTTGGGTAACTCAGGCTGAATTCTTGTGTATTCCAAGCTGACCATCCAGAGAGGGATAGAGTCTGATGCATGGATGTGTATATATATTTTTTCATTCCATTGTAGTGTCGCCAATGAACCCTAATCAGAGATAAGCTCAGGTAATGGTTTAGGAAATTCCTATGGACAGTACTTCATCCTCTGGCTTTTCTATTCTTTTTCTCCTGCTGCGTGGTTCCTCTTTCCTGTCTTCTTCTCCACGATGCCCTTTGTTCCTCCCTGACCTTCTTAAAGTGGATTATTCCAGGCTTCCTTTGCAGGAAGATCAGATGACCAGCCATAAGGAGGAATTCAAATAAACAAGTCTGACCACTTATCTAATATTGAGCTTCTCAGTACCACCTATCCTTCTGGTGGCTGTTTGCCTGGCTGCCTCCCAGAGAAGCGGCCTTCATGAACACAGTGACACTGGGGGGAGTTTGAGAGGAAGATGGTAACTGCGGCAGCCAGCATCTTACCTGAAGTATCTGGATACCAAGGGCATCTAGGTTCCAGATCCTTGGTATTAAACATAAGGAGAATTAGAGCATACCTTACATTTCAGAATCTGAGTCCAGACGCTGGAAGGTTTATGGTTGAAAACTTGAATTTGGGCCTTTGAAAATAAGTCAGTCAAGAATTTTCTTCAGCCTAAATTATTGAACAGAGGTCTCCTGATGGGAGAACAGCCATGTTTAGTAGCAACCTCCTTCCTACCTGTCTTCAAAGATAGCCGATGACCATTAATGTTGCATAGTGTTTATCTGCGTAGTAGTAGTAAAGGTTACTTGTGTGGGCCAGTCAGGGGGTGAAGCTACATCGCCCGGCAGCTAAGGGTGTGGTTCTGGGACAAGGCAGGGCTGGGTCGGAATCCAGCCTCCTCCATGTGCTAATTGCAGGATTGGAGCTAATGACTTCATCCTTCTCTGTCTCAGTTCCCCCATTTGTCAAAGGACAATAATCTCAGTATCTCAGAGTACTGAAAAACAGCCTCAGAAAGCGATGGATCTTCCTCCTGTTTCAATGGCAGCTCGTGGCATTGCAATCTTCTGGTCTATGGTATCCAAAAGAAGAGTCTCAGTGGTTCTTATTTTCAGATTAGTATTTAAAGGCAGTTTTCTTTTCTGCCCACACATATTTGAGTACCCGAAGATTATTTTTTCCATCGTCAGAGCGTAATTTTATTATAATTCCGAAACTTCTTTCGATTTTTCCTTCATCAAAAGCTTAAAATTTGGATTTCTTTCACTTATTCATCCCATATGTATTTATTTGGCACCTGCCATGGTAAAGGTGCTGTGATGAGGCGTGGTCCCTGCCATCAAGTCAATAAAAGAAATACGGCGTTCGTGCACAGATACCGATCCTTCATGATCCAGGCCAAATGTCGCACCTTCTGAGTTGGTCATAACGTCTTGCAGTACCTATATTGTAGTATCTAATCATGCCTTTATTGTACTTCTCTTTGTGTTTCTTTCTCCCACGTAGAATATTTTGGAGGACAAGAACCTTGTCTTAAATACCTTTGTAAAGTCACCATTTAAGGGAGTATGGAACGTAACTTAAGCATGATCAGTTTTTGTTGAATGAATGAATGAGTGTGCAGATTGTTGGTGGCAAACCTCCCTCTGTCAACTCTGCTTCCGCTTTCTACACCTGTGTATGCAGGTATTGTTTGCTACCAATAATTTGTATGATCTGGACGTCACCTTCCACAGGGGAAGCTTTTTGAATGCAAAGCAGGGTTAATAGAGGGAAGGAGACAGTTAATACCCGATCACAACTCATCTAATCACAGAAAGCCTGTGATTTAAAGGGCTTCGCTATGTGACCCACAGACATTGAATGCCACACACTGAAAAGTGAGTGGGGCGCCTCGGTGGCTTAATTGGTTAAGTATCCGACTTTAGCTCAGGTCGTGATCTCACGGTTCGAAGGTTCAAGCTCTGCATCTGGCTCTGTGCTGACAGCTTGGAGCCTGGAGCCTGCTTCGGATTCTGTGTCTCCCTCTCTCTTTGCTCCAACCCCTGCTCATGCTAAATAAACATTTAGGGTTTCATCAGCACATCGCACATCCATACACAGAACTTTATACTTATCTGTACAATGGCATTAATCACATTTAAATGTAATATAAATATATTAACATATATTTACACCTTTATGTAGTGGCATCTTTGACTTTTTTTTTATAAACTTAATTATATTATGGCAGAATTTCAATCACACTGGATTATTCCTCATGCAGTAGATCTCAGGGTATCATTGTATACCTTGGGAAATTGATGTCGTCCCTACGTCATATGTGAAAACTCCAAATTAATCAGATGGTTTATTTTCCTTTTTTTTTTTAAAGACTTTAAGTAATTCTTTTTTTTAATTTTTTTATTAAAGTTTATTTATTTTTGAGAGAGAGACAGAGTGCGAGTGGGGGAGGGACAGAGAGAGAGGGAGACACCCAATATGAAGCAGGCTACAGGCTCTGAGCTGTCAGCACAGAGCCCGACGGGGGGCTCTAACTCACAAACTGAAATCTGAGATCATGAAATCTCGAACTCACGAGCCATGAGATCATGACCTGAGCCGACGTTGGACGCTCAACCGACTGAGCCACCCAGGTGCCCCTAAGATTTTAAGTAATTCTTCCCCCAACCTGGGGCTTGAACTCACAACCCCGAGATCAAGAATCACATGGTCTATGGACTAAGCCAGTCAGTGCCCCAATCAGATTTTTTTTTCCCTATCACATTTGTTCTTTTCCTATCATGTTTGTTCTAATCCTAATCAATCCATATATGTGAAGTGTTAGAATTTCTCAAATATGCATCTACATTCATGAATATGTGTGTCAGTGAAGCCTGGAAAGTGATCTAATTGGAACTAAAGGCACATTAAGACCATAGATCAGGGGCGCCTGGGTGGCTCAGTCGGTTAAGTGTCCGACTTCAGCTCAGGTCACGATCTCACAGTCCGTGAGTTCGAGCCCCGCATCAGGCTCTGGGCTGATGGCTCAGAGCCTGGAGCCTGCTTCCAATTCTGTGTCTCCCTCTCTCTCTGCCCCTCCCCCATTCATGCTCTGTCTCTCTCTGTCTCAAAAATAAGTAAACGTTAAAAAAAATTTTTGAAAAAAAAAAAAAAAAAAGACCATAGACCATCGTTAGTGGAAGCCTTGGGCCCTCATGAAGATGTGGATAAAAGGCTAAAGTTGTAGAGGGGGCAGGTTCTAACTAATTATACATGCTTCATAAATAAATAAATACACAAATGAAAAGTTTATAAATTAAACTAAAGCAATAGACCCAGCTAAGAAATTCTTTAGAGCTACTAATTTATTCTCAACCAAAAAAGAAAATGATGGGAGAACAGCCATGTTTAGTAGCAAGAACCAGGGAGCTGTTCAAAACTAATGACTAAATATGTATTTACAGACCAGTTTCTTGCCTAAACCTTAAGGGAAAAGGAAACAGCATTTTGGCGCTTAAGAAATCTAATACAAGAGGGGTGCCTGAGTGGCTCAGTTGGTTGAGCGTCCCACTTTGGCTCAGGTCATGATCTCATGGCTCGTGAGTTCGAGCCCCGAGTCAGGCTCTGTGCTAACAGCTCAGAGGCCGGTTTGGATTCTGTGTCTCCCTCTCTCTCTCTACCCCTTCCCCACTCATGCTCTGTCTCTCTCTCAAAAATAAACAAACATTAAAAAAAATTTAAAAATCAAAGAAATCTACTACAAGGTATGTGGAGCAAATACTAACAATAAGACACAGTGGGATGAAGGAAGGAGGCCCTTACCCAGATGGAGAACGTGAGCATGGAGGTTAGTTAAATGTTCAGCATTTTTTTAGCACTGTTTTCTTGACCGCTGTTTATAGTGGTGAAACAGTGGAAAAGACTGCAAGGAGAACATCTTATTGGCCTCAGTTAATATTATGACACTATTGCTCTTTGCCCATATTGGTATATTTCACCGTCTCAACAACCCTGCGTGGTAGGCAATATTATGAACTCTCCTTAACAGAATGGGAAACTGAGGCACCGCTTACTTAGCTCTTGTTCACAGTGACAGGGCAAGTCACCGGTACTGAATCCTATTATTTAGCTGTGGGGCAGGTCTTACTTTTTTGCCTCCACATCACAC